GTCATGACTATCACGATCAGGCCCATCTTGGCCGCTTGCGATGTGCAGGCCCCAGGCTTCGCGAGAGCACTCGACAGCAGCAGGAGAGACCACGGGGCGTCAGTTGCAGCGACCTCCCGGCAGGCTGATGGGCTCGGAGCCGCACATTGCACGCAGGCTTGTTTCGACAATATTCGCGCGACAACGGACGTCGGCAGCGTCAACGTTTACAGGAATGTTTGGTCGAGTGTGTGGACGAGAGGCCTGGGAAGGCCCATGCTGTATTATCGCCCGAGGATCCCCACTGGGAGCAGTGGCTTATTTTGTTCCAACGGCTTCGGCAGGAGCTGCCGATGCAGGACGCAGACCATCAGCAGTAGATGGAGGTGCCCTGTTGCGTGGCTGATCGGGCGCAACGCCGGGCTCATGCGCCCTCGCTGCGGGGGCCCAGCCGTTGGACGTTAAAAACTATTTCCCATCGGCGCATTGCACCGCGCAGTTCGCAAAGGGCCTTTGCTTCGCCAGGGGCTGGAGGTGGGCGGGCGCATTATGCATCAGCCGTTGGAGAGACTGTCGATCGCAGGGCGAATAAGTGGAAGTCAAGTTGGGCAGACAATCCCGTCGATGAGGGTGCTACTCGAGAAGCTGTTCGGCTTGCCCGCGCGCGCGCGATAAACTGAGGCCATTGCCCCCCATATCAGGCGAAGATATTTGCATCGCTGCGCGGTGCACGTCAGCCCGCGCAGGCCAAGGGCGCGACCGCATGTCTCCAGTCGATTTCGGTCGTCTGCCCACCACAGCGCTTGATGAGTTGGCTCGAATCTACCTGGCAGTCGAATCAGAGATCGCATGGTCACATCAAGCTACGCTAACGCTCGGGCGGCTACTTTCGAAAAAAGACGGTGGGGGACCGCGTCATCGGTTTCCTCGGTATGTCTAGTCGGTTGTGGTCGCTCGTGCGGGAACCCATTTTACGACAGTGGGCGTCTGCGTCCGCGCCGCATTGGGGCGCCGCTGCGAAAGGCAACGCGGCTCTCCGCGAAGCTTTTGCGCGAACCCTCGAGGGGGGCGCGGGGGGGTGGGGCGGGGTGGGGGTGGGGGGGGGGGGGCATCAGCTCGGCGCGGCGCCAGGCGCAGGCTTCCTCGACGTCGGCGTGTTTTACGACAGTATTGTTTGGGCTATCCCGGTTCCGAAGGGAATCGCACTAGGGTTCTTCTCAGCCATCTTCCGCTTTGAGGTCCTGCAGCGCATGGCGCCGAGAGCTTTTGGACAATGCAGCTCGCGGGCTCTACCGAGCATTTACGACAGTGTTGTTTGGGATATCCTGATTCCGAAGGGAATCGCACTAGGGTTCCCCTCAGCCATCTTCCGCCTTGAGGTCCTGCCGCGCACGGCGCCGGGAGCTGTTGGACAATGCAGCTCGCGGGCTCTACCGATCATTCCCACGCGCCCCGTCGTCCAGGGCCTGCGATCAGGCACGGGTCTCGGCCGTGTCATGGTGCATTTTGTTATTGGTAAAATTCGCACAGCCCATCCAAGAATGAGGCGTCGGTTGTTGGTGGGTGATCCTGCCCAGAGAGCAGTTGGTTCCAGAGCGGATACAAATGCGCGCCAACCTGAAAGACGCGCGCCGAGGATTGGCCGCCGCAAAACTGCAAGTAGCCGCCAAGAGTGTCGCGGTGCGCAGTCACCACCCCGACGCTATCAATATCTGTCGATGCTTGCGGCTTGCAGGGTTTCAGGTTCGGGTCCAACGTCGCGTGGGACTTCTTGGTGCTGTCGTGGGTTGCGGCGGTCGTCACACCCGCGCCACTCGTCGGAAAAGGTCGGCGAAGCACAAGATGACGCACGCCAAAATCAAGAAGCACGCAGTGGCATGCCGCAAGTATGCTGCAGGTCTATGCGGCCACCAGCTGCACGGCACGCTCGGAGCGTATATGGATGTTTCTCGTCGCCGACTCGCAGCAGCCATTGCCGCGCCCTCTAGGGGCGATACCTTGCCACTCTTCCGGCTATCACGGCGCCTTTGGACCCCTCTCTCCGACTTCCAGAAGAAGTGTTGCGACCATAGTTTCGCGCGTGGCCGGGGGAGCTCAGGTTGCGTCCTGGCGCTTGTCGCGCGCGGGGCCCCTTGGTGGCGAAGCTTCGCGCCATCCCTCCAGGGCAGCGCGCGCGGCGCATCCGCGGTCCAGTGTCAGCTGTCATTACCCTTCTCATCCATAACGGCTGGGGCCCGAAAGATGCCGCGCATTGGGCGCTGACCCCAAGCGCGCCCGAGCATAAGTCCATACACTGGTGATTTCTTGATGAGGTATGGACAGGCTGGCCAGACGTGGACAATCCAGGAGTTGTGATCACAGATGTTCAGAATACCATTTCACGGCAATTATGGAGTCGAGCATCTCAACACTACTGTGGATCAGGCATAGAAGATGGTGTGGGCGTGGTATTTCTCAGACGTCTACATCAGCAACTTCTGGAGGTTCAGAATGGGAGTCGGTGATCGGAACTATTAGTTGCCATTGCAGCTGGCGCGTCTTGGCCACGAGATCGCCGAGCCGAGTGCACCAGCAGCAGCAGGAACATCATCATCGATCCAACTTGTCTGCGATGCGGTGAGGGTCCCGATGCAATTCTGAAGCAGCAGCTCATTCTTGTTATGATAATTTGATTGGAGCATGATAACTTGATTGGAGCAGCGTGCTCAGGACGGGAGGCAGCAGGATGCTTCTGGTTCCGAGGTATCCTGCTGCTTCTGGCTCCGAGGCATCACAGCGTACTCAGCAGCAGTGAGCCGCCCCGCTGGGCGACGGTCAGCTGAAGGGCCACGCGATGGAGAGCCCAGCGGCTGCGCTGGTTGGCGGGGAGCGCCCGCCTGCGTGCATCGGCCCGCTGGCGGGGGGCGGCCAGCTCACCGCCGGCTCCGCCCCCTGCCGTTCGTCCGCCGGGGGCGGCGGCCCACGGCCCAGCTCGATTTACGTCCGGCGGGCCTGGTCGCGGCGGCGGCCTGGCCCGACCCTCGCGACCGCGAGTCGGGGCCGCTCGGCCCGCCGCGGGCGGGGCTGGCGTCGGGGGGCCGGTGCCTCCTAGCTCCCGCGCAGGGCAGCAAGGCGCTGGTTGTGGAGATCCTCGCGATGATTGAAATTTACTTCGCGCGCCACGGCAGAGGGCAGGGCGCGCTGCAGGTAATGGCGTAGGTCGGCCATCGCGACGTCGCCGCGCTGAGCGCCTCCCTCTTCTCCGTTGCTCAGGCGGAGCTGGCGCGCGGCTGGCAGCGGGCTGTAGGCGCGCTGGAGCTCGACCAGTTCTCCTCCTGTCATGGGGGCCAGCTGCGCTGCTCGGGCCAGGGCGGGTGGCTGACCGAGCAGTTGTACGAGCGGTCAGCCGCTCAGTGCCAGCTTGCCGCCGCCTGCTGCCGAAGGCTGGTCGCGCCCATGCGCGGCCCGCCCTCGCCGTCGGATCCAGTCTGCCCGATCCACTTGCGATGCTCGACCTTTTCTCGGGCGATGGCGGGCTGGGCCGGGCTTTCGCTGATCTAGGTCTACCAGTCCTGTTGTGGGACATCACGTTAGGAGAGCACTACGATGTCTCGAGGCCTGCCAAAAAGTCCCTAATCCTGAGGTGGACGCGTGCAGGTCGGGTGCGAGGCTGGCATGCTGCTGTCCCCTGTAACACCTCGCTTTGCCGCAGCCATGGCGCGGGCGCTCCGCCCGTCCGCTTGGACCTCCACCTTCTCGGCCCCCTCACCTTAAGTCTCACCTACAGGTTCTTGTTTAAGTACCGAATTCGCTGAACAGTTCTGTTGCCACACTCGCGTGTATTTCCGTCACAGGGCATACCATGGTCTGTTGAAAATCCCAAGCTGGCTTCTCCCCAGGTCCAAAGCTTTGTTTAGACGCAAACCCGTCATGTTTTTAATCGCCCCCAATGTGCCATGTTGTCCGATATCGAGCCGGGTGCTTTCAGGGATTCAGTGTGCTGTGGCTCTCGTAGGGGCATTTGCTCCAGGACGGGCCGTCCCCATGAGCAACTCCAGGGTTTCCTACCCAGGGGCGGGTTTCAGACGAAATAGGGGGCCGTCTATCCTAGAAAGTTCAGCATTGCGTTAGCCAGGTGATTTCACAACGCTGAGGTCTGTGCTCCGCTCAGGTCATTCAGAATGCCGTGCCCCAAAAATTAGCCTGCTTATGTTCGGCGTATCCAGCCTGCTGCTGCATATTTGGCGCATGTTTGGCAGTGTGTGCGAATGCTCGTGCTGTCTCGCAAACGTGCTTGAGCTCTGGTGGGGGCGTTGGCCCACCTCGAAGGCTTGATTATGTCGCTCTTTTGCTATCGCTGGCTGGAGGGAAGTGCTCAGGACTGTCGTGAGTTTCGCGGGTTTCCGATGGTCGTTATGTACGCCGCCGTTTCGGTCGCTCAAGTCTCCTCCTTCTCTTCCTCTCCTCCTTCCACAGTTCAGGTTGTACGCTGCTGCGTGCCAGTGTGTGCGAATGCTCGTGATGTCTCGCAATCGTGATTGAGCTCTGGTGGGGGCATTGGCCCACCTCGAAGGCTTGACTATTTCGTTGATCAGTATGTTGCTACCGCTGGCTGAAGAAACGTGCTCAGGATGATGATGATGATTCTGGTGCTGGTGATGATGATGATGATGATGATGATGATGATGGTGGTGATGATGATGATGATGATGATGATGATGATGATGATGATGATGATGATGATAAGGAGGGACAAGGCTTCGTCGTTGTCGTCGTCGTCGGTGTCGTCGTCGTCGTCCTCCTCCTCCTCCTCCTCCTCCTCCTCCTCCTCTTTCTCGTCCTTTACCTGCGTAATCCACTGTTCCTCCCCTCCTCCGCCTTCGTCGCATCCTCGTTTTCCTCCTTTGAGCTGTCGCGCTCTTCCCCCTGACGAAGGGGGAGGTGGCGAGACGGCGGCAGGAGGACGAGGAGCGAGACGGCGACCGCGAGGACGGCCGCCGCGACGACGACGGCACGGCGGCGGCGGCCCGCACCGCCGCGAGGCCACGCGTGTGAGATGGCCGCACACCAGCGGCTGCTGGACACGCTGCTGGATATCCGCCGGGGTGGGGGGTGGGGGGGGCACCATGGCGGCCCAAGAGGACCCCACGAGGGCCCAAGAGCGGCCGAGGAGGCCCCCAAGACGACCCGAGGGGCGTCCAAGATGGCACTCAGAGGGCCCAGGGAAGGCGCCAAGAGGGCTCCAAGAGGCCCGACGGAGGCCCCAAGTTGGCCAAACTCGCTCCGAGACACCCAACATGGCTCCTGGGAGGGCCGAAGAGGTCCCGAAGATGACCCCTACGAGGAAACAACTATCGATATCCTTTCCCATTGTTTGAGCAATGTGTGCTCGCTCCAGTTCGAGTTCCAGACGGGTGGAGACGGCCCCAGGGGGGCGTAAACCCGCCCGAAGAGGCTCCCAGGATAGCCCAAAGTCGGCCCAATATGGTCACAATGCGGCCAGGGAGGTCCAGAGGCGTCAAGATATGTCAAGAGGGCGTCCAATATGCCACCTGCATGAGTCAAGATACCCTCAAGACGGACGCAGAGGCCCTGAGACGGCCCAAGACCAGACGGCCCAAGATGGCGCCACGACGGCCGAAGAGGCCCCCCAGGCGTCCTAAGATGGCCCAGAGGAACTCTCAAGAGGGCCTCGTCCGACAAGGGCGCCGTCAAGGCTTCAAGTGGGAAGCGGAATCACGGGGGCCAACATAGGGTGCTCGGCTTGCGCCCCCCCCTCACGAGATTTGCGCAAGTCGTGCCCATTTGTGCTCCAAGTTCGGAGTTCGAGGCTTTATCAGGTGTGCCGAGGTGGTCGCGAGTGCCTTTAGGATCGCCCCGCCAGGCTGATCGGCAAGCGAAGGCCGATGGCAATTCAGTGCAGGATGGATGTCTCTGTGGCGCAGCGCGGAAGATGTCGCCGAACAGGCTCCATAGACCATGAAGTCGTCTCCTGCCAATCAAACGCGACTGGTACCAACCCTGCGCCTGCCATCATATGATAGAGCGGCGATCCAGAAGAGGTCCTCGCCTCGGCGCCCCTTTCATTCGGAGGGAGCCGGCAGACAGCAGGGCGGAACGCGGGCGGACGCCCAGTGGCCGCAGGTGCGCCGGCGGCGGGCCGCGGACGCCAAAGTGAGACGCCAACGTGTCTGGAGTCGAATTTTTCGGGAGCCAGCCCGTCGCTGACTCGGCTCAGGCCTGTCGGCCGCGGCCCGCGGCGTCGGGCGTCGCGCCTCGCCCTCGCGGGCGCGGCGCGCACCGCGCGCGCGGGCGATGGGCGGCGCGGCCAGCGCGGAGCTCGCCGCCGGGGAGGCGGCCCACCACGACGTCGCAGGCCACCACGGCGGCGCCGGCCTCGAGCACGCCGAGCACCACTACCCGCCCGACCACAACGTCAACCACTGGGCGGCGGAAGCCTTCAGTGCCGCCGGCCGCGCCCGGGTGGCCGCAGGCCTGGCGGCCCAGGCGCTGCAGGAGGCGGACCGCCACGAGCGCGGCGCCCGTGAGCTGGCCGCGGAGGCCGCGGCCGAGGTGCGCCTCGCGAGCAGCCGCGCGCGGGAGGAGCTGCTGCGCTCGCCGGCGCTGGGGCCCGCGATCCGGCTGTGCGGCCAGGAGTCCAGCAGGGGCGAAGCGTCCGGGTCTGCCCATGGGCTCACCAGAAGAAGGGTGCTTGCAATCGCGGGCGATGTTTCTCCCCCAATCCCCGAGTCTCGCCCGAAAAGTTTGGCCGCTCAGAAAAGTGGGAAAACCCGGGGATACACCCCAAGGGGGCTATTCGGACGCACCGCTATCGAGGATGGACACCCCGCCATCGTATATTCCAGGGTTGGGCCCAAATTTCTGGTCCATTCGGAAACCCCACGAAGCCTGGGATAGGGGTCGACACATCGCCTGTTATGCAACCTTCTACGGTTGGTACGGAGTGCTCTTGGAACATTTTTGTTGCTGAGACAGTCTTGCTTTCGCCCATCGGCTTTTCCATTGTGGGAGCATTGTCTCTGTTAGTAGAACATTCTTGTTCGGTAGCAAATCCATGGGAGCCTGGTATGCTCTTTCAAGTCCGTCTCTGGCGTCGATTAGCGCTTGGGAACCGATCAGGGAGCGCCGACTTGGCATCGTCTTTCGTCGACTGGCGTCGATTTCACTTCGATCAGCGTCGATCAGCGTCGATGGGCGCCGACCAGCCAGAGCCGACAAGATGGTATGGGAGAGGCTCCCATTAAGTTGCTGCTGCACTCTTCCGTGGCAAGCGCACGTCGTGGTGGCCCATCGGAATGCCAGGGTGGTCGGCCCCTGCTCCCGAGGAGGGGGCGCGCACCGGCCCGCCGATGCTGAGGCGCGCGTGCGCCAACCTGGACGCCTACGTCCGCGGCCAGGCCTCCGAGGAGGGAGGGGGAGGCCTCATGATTTTGCTCTTGCCACAAGAGGAGGAGGAGGAGGAGGAGGAGGAGGAGGAGGAGGAGGAGGAGGAGGAGGAGGAGGAGGAGGAGAGGTCAATAGTCCGGGGGTGCAAGTGGGGGCGCGCAGCCAGGTAGCAGATGCTTCTCGTCAGGGTGCCCTCGGTTTCTTCGCTTCGCGCGCTGATCTAGGCCTCCTTGATTGGGTCCGTCTGGACGCCCGAGATGGGCACGGAAAGAATAGGTACAATGCCCAACAGCAGTTCCTGTTCATTCTGAACAGGACGCGCTGTCCGCGCCGCCGCGGCCTGTGTCCATTTGGGACAGGATGCCGCCTGCCCAACAGCGGCCGCTGTTGATTCGGGGCAATATTTGCTGTTGGGCATTGTGCCCATTCTTTCCGTATCCAGTTCGGGCGTGCAAAAGGAAGGGGTGCAGTGGGGGCGCGCAGCGAGGCAACAGATGCTTCTCGTCGGGGTGCCCTGGGTTTCTTCGCTTCGCGCGCTGATCTAGGCCTCCTTGGCGGGGTCCGAGTAGATGGGCTCGGAGGATCGTGCCGCATCGCCGACGCATCGGCGATGCGGCTCGCTGTGGATCCCGATTTTCTCCACGCCGACGTCACCAGCGTCGCTGGTGCATCGCCAATGCATCGTCGATGCATCGGCGATGCATCGCCTATGTATCGGCGATGCGGCGCGATCCTCCGACCCCATCTACTCCGACCCCATCTAGGAGGCCTCTAGTACAGTGGGGGCGCACATCAAAAATCCATATGCTTGTCGTCAGGGTGCCCTGGGTTTCTTCGCTTTGCGCGCTGCGTAGTGACTTCCCGGGGCCGTTGAAGGAGCTGCTGCGTTCGGGATGCCCTGGGCTTCCCCTAAGTCGCACCTCTCGCGCGGGTCTTCAAGGCTGGATTTCTTGTGAGGGTTTCTCGCGGCCGCGACCGCACTGTACGATAGGTCCGCGTCGTGTCGACAGGCGGCGGCCCAGCCGCCAGCGTTCAACGTTGAACGCCGCTGGCGACCCAGGATCGGCCGATATGGAGCGAGCGGGCGTTTCGGAAACGGCAGATCTTTCAAGGTTGAGAAGTCCCCGCAGGGTCACAAACCAGCGCTCAAGTCGGAGCGGCACGAGCCTGCCGCACTGATACCGCTGCTCGTCCTGGAGAGCCCTCGTCAGCACGGCTGGATTCTCTGCAGGACGCACCCGGTGAGAGGCCGAGGGAGTTGCGATATCTGTAGGAGGAGGAGGAGGAGGAGGAAAAGGAAAAGGATAAGGAAAACGAGGAAAAGGAAAACGAGGAGGAGGAGGAGGAGGAGGAGGAGGAGGGGGAGGACCTTCTTACTCCCCCAAAGGTCGGCCTGGCAGCACCCCCAGAGACGGCCGCAGGCCTGCAGCTGGGGCTCTCATGGGCGGCGACGAAGGGGGCGACTGGCCTAAGGGATTTCGAGGAACATCCTGGAGGCCTCGCGCGGCGCTTAATAGTACTATGATCTAGTCCACTTGTCAGTTCCGAAAGCTATGGGTCGACGCTCGCGCGGCAGTGCTCCGGAGTAAATCCGACGTAGGTCCGACGTAGTCCGACGTGAATTCGACGTAAATAAATCCGACGTGGATCCGACGTACATCGGGTCTCAAGTTGCCGCGCGAGGCCTGCAGGCATTTCCTCATAAAAGAAAGGCAGCATGGACTCCTCATCGCCCATTCGTCGCCGATGGGGGCCTGGGGCCCCAAGCCCGCCATGGAACGTGCGGCTTTTCCATCGGGAGCATGTCGCCCATCCCTCGGCGATGCATCGCCGATTCCAGGTCGATGTCTGCCCCCCCCCCCCCCGTCGTAGCCAGTGCCCCCCTGTCGACCGCCCACAGGTTCAGGCAGTACAGCCTCCCCCGCGCCTACGAGGATCGTGGGCGCGAAACCTATCAGTATCCACGGCCTCACAGGCCGGAGCCCTGGGCAGCAGCCCTGTGGACACGGGGCGTGATGCCGCGGATGCCCCGCGCGGAACTGCACCCATTCGCGACCGCGTGTCCACGCGGTCGCGCCCCCTGGCAGCCTGACCGTGAAGGCGTGGATGCGGATCTGTCCGTCGCTCGTTCACCGCGCGCGTTCCACTTCTCGCAGAGTGCCTACTCGCAGACGCCCGAGAGACAGACGCCTGCTACCATCGACTCTCTCGTAGGATCCCCCCGCGTCGGATATCCAGGCCATCTGCGAGTATAGTCACCTTGCGAGCAGTGGGACGCGCTCGTCTGCTCGTGGGAGGACGTGGCCTACCCGGCCGCGGAGCCCCCTGCGCCCCAGGCGTACCGCCGCGCGCCCGGCGGGCAGCCCCCGCCGGCGGTGCCGCGGGGGGAGGCCGCGCCGCCCGCCGCCGCTGCGCCCTCATGGGGCGGTGCCGGCGTCCCGCGCGCGGGCGCTCGGGCCGCGGCGCGCGAGGGCGGCTTCGTGTGAGCGCGGGGCGGGCAGCCCGTCGCCCGCACGCTGGCCGCCCTGCCCCAGAGGAGGAGAAGGTGCCGAGAGGCCTCCTCCTCCTTCTCCTCCTCTCCTCCTCCTCCTCCTCCTCCTCCTCCTCCTCCTCCTCCGCCTCCTCCTCCTCCTCCTCCTCCTCCCCTCCGCCTCCTCCTCCTCCTCCCCCTCCGCCTCCTCCTCCTCCTCCTCCCCTCCTCCTCCTCCCCCTCCTCCTCCCCCTCCTCCTCCCCCTCCTCCTCCTCCTCCTCCTCCTCCCCCTCCTCCTCCTCCTCCTCCTCCTCCTCCTCCCCCTCCTCCTCCTCCCCCTCCGCCTCCTCCTCCTCCTCCTCGCCGCCCTTCCTCGTCGCCACGGCCAGATTCGCCCCTCGGAGTCCTGGTCGGCGCGGGCCCCGCGTGTATATCGGCCGTGTCGCTCCGACGCTGCCCCCCCCTCCCTCCTCGGCCTCCTCCGCCGCGGGGCTCTCGTGGTGGTTGTGAAGGGCGTGAGTCGGGGGTGGACAGAACCCCCAACAGCGAGCGAGCGGGAGCCCCCTCCGAGACTCGCGGCAGCCCTGGCCGCGGCGACCGGCGAGGGGACGGCGGCCGCGGGCGCGGCGGGCGGAGCGGCAGCTCCTCGACTCCCAGAGGAAGGCGCCCCAGAGGGAGGGGTGGGTGGACAGAACCCCAACAGTGACACGTCGATTAGTGAATTGTCCGTTTTCGGTTCTCGAGAGGGCGCCGCGGCCGTAATTTTTCAGGCTTGCGCCCGCCAGGTTTGGGCCTCAGGTCGTTTTCACTAAACCACGGTTTACTGAAGGGAGGTCTGTCCATCCCCGAGTGAGCGCCCGATGGTTCCCCCCGTTCAGCGAACACACACTTTTTGGCATCGCGGCCGTGCCCGCGGCGGCACGGTTCATCCACAGCGAGCGACGCTGTGTGGGGGCTCTGGAGAGGGGGCAGCCATGAGAAGGGACGAGCGGGGGACTACAACATGTAGATTAGGTAGACCTGGGGTGAGCAGCTGCAGCAGCAGCAGCAGCAGCAGCAGCAGCTTCATGGCCGAAGCTGGACAAGTACGGGGGACAAGCTTAGCCGAGGGAACAAGACAGCGAGGGGCGTTCCCGACAAATACTTTCACACACACACACATACACAAAACGAGCAATTATCGGGAGTCGGCCAACCTGCGAACCCTGCCCGAGATGACAGCTATTGCGGGCGGGGATCACATTATCCATATCCACGGCCTCGCGGTCGGCCATATCGCACAATGCGTACTTTATTTTCGTTGCGCGCTCCTCGCCACGGCTCTTGGGGGAGGCAGGGAGGGAGATAGATCTCCACCCCCAATGGCCGCGGATCACGGTGGCCCGCTCCAGGACGCTTGGCCGCCCCCAGGCGCGGGGAGGCGCCGGCGAAAGCCAGTTCCACGTGGATGATTCGCTAACCCCCCTCTGCCATTCCCCTTCCTGCTGTCCGCCCTGATCCTCCTCGATCTCCAGTCCTCTCTCTCCTGCTCTTGGATCCGTGCCCCTCGGGCGCGAACTTCGATCTTCGATCCTCCTGCTTTTCGACCCGCGGCCTCCGGGGCTCGAGGCTCGGTCTTCGATCCACCTGATCCTCTTTTTGCTCCGCGGCCGCGTGAGAGGCACCGCGGCGTCCAGGAGCGGCCGGCGGCGCGGGCGCGCCAGGCCGCCGCGCGGCAGCTCGGTCAAGTGGGCCTGCCTCCTGGTCGCCCTCCTCCTCGGCCGCCCCGCCCTCCTCGCCCTCCCTCCCCCCTCCACTGCTGCTCGGCGCGAGAGGAGCTCCTGCTCGCGGACCCCGCGCCGCACGCGGCGGGCGAGGAGGCGCTGCGCGACTGGGCGGTCGGCTCCCGCCTCTTTGCGGCGGGGGCGGGTCGTCGTCGCCGCTGTCATCGGCCCCGGGGTGCCCTCCATCCGCGGCCAGGGGCCACGACGTATTGAGTCGGGCATGTCCCTCTTCGGGGGCGGAAAAGAGGGGGGTGATGACTAGGGGGGGGGATATCATGGTGGGGGCCATGGTATTTTCCCAAATGTTATGGCGCCTCTTCTTATTTCATTACGTCCCTGGCCCCCCCGCTGGGCCGCGAACATGCCGCTAGTCATGATTTGCACCACCCCCTCTTGGCCGCTTCCGACCTCTGCAGGAGGAGAATCCAAGAATGGTAAGAAAGTAGTCTGGTGACGACGTTTCGATTGTGTCTCGACTATGCTTGAAACGGTTTGGCGATGTTGTATCTGTCCTCCAGAATCCGTTTGCAGGGCAGGAGGGCAAGCCAGACCTGAGGCTGCGAGCAGCGCGTGGCGTCACTCCGTGAGCGAGCCAAGGGCTGCGAAGCCCAGGCTGCGAAGATGAACATGTAAGTCTGAGGGGGTATCGCCCTGTCGCTGGACCAGTCGGGGCCCCTCGTCCCCCGCCTGGTGTCGAAAAGGTATCTTTTGATGCGCGCCTCTTCCCCACCCCCTGCCACAGTTTTGCCACTTGCGAGGCTGTCCCGTGGTGGGGGTCTGCCTCAAACGAGCCTTCCCCGGCTCTCCCTTGGCTCTCTCCCTCCCGCCCTCGCCCCTCATCTTCCCTCCTCGTCCTCCTGTTTGCGGGCGGCCGGCCGGCTTCCCCGCGGCCCCAACGCTTCAAGGGCAGAAGGAAGCACAGAGAGGAGGAGGGGGTGAGGGAGAGGAGAGAGAGAGAGAGAGAGGAAAGAGAGAGAGAGAGGAAAGAGAGAGAGAGAGAGAAAAGAGAGAGAGAGAAGCAGAAGTAGAGATCGGACAAGTAGGCGGACCTGGGTCCGTCCGCGAGGCGCACTGCGGTGCGACAACTCGCATGCACTATTTGCGGCGGTGCAGCCTTAAGATACGAGGGCGGGCTACAAAACCCCCTCCCCCGGCGCAGTGCGACTGACGCTACAGACGGCGGACAGACGATGAAGATCTCACCTGACAGACCGCGTGAGGTAAAAGGCCCCAACAAGAAAGGCGACGTGCTGGCACGTGGCTAGGCGGCTTGGCGGACCGCCAGTTGGGCGCTTGGCCGCTAAGCGGCGCGCAGTGACGGGGCACCCCCCGCCCCCACGCCCTGACACCGTGGACGCGGAGCCACACGTACACACGGGCAGGCAGAAAGGAGGAGATCAGCGCGGGGCACCAGGTGGAGCGCCGCGGAACGATGACAACATAGCTTGGATGTTGAGTGACGGCACGACACCATCGGGCGAGGTCGTGAGCAGCTCGGCGAAGGCTCGCCCAGCGCTGTGGAGGCGCTGGAGTAGAGGACCTTGACGAGCTTGGGCAGCGGCGAGGTCCGCGGCGAGAGCTAAGCACCTCTGCTGAAGGGCAGCCATAGCCTGTGACAGCTCGGTTTCACGGTCGGTGAGAGGTGGCTGCTCAGTGACATCCGCCGAGGATCTCGAGACAGAGGCGAGGTCCTCGGTACGCCTGTCCAGGTGGGCTAGCGGCGTGCGGGACCCTGAACGCTGACGTCCGTCACCCTTAAAAGGTGACTGGAGGGGCCGGCGCGACCCCAGGGCTGGAGCCGCTAGGGCCGCGCCCCGAGAGGTCAGGGGAGCCGCTTCCTCTCGCTCAGCAACGGAGGAAGCGTGGGTGGGGCACGAGGGCCTGTCTGGTTTAGTACCCTGCGGGGGGGCTGAAGCCGCCCCCGCGGGTCGCTGACGATGGGGAGGCGGAGTGGTATGCGCGGTGGGACCAGTCGTGATGCCGTGCAAGGCCGCTGAGGTCGGTCGCGTAGAGGGTTGGTGACTCGGTGGGGCGGCATGGTCGGCAGCGTGTGGTGTCGGCGGTGCGTCCTCAATGCCACCCAATCCTCGGGGGGCACTCGGGTCGTGGTCGGCGTCTTGGCGGTGACCGATATCGTCGTATGTGGGCGTTAACGCTCTTGGGGACGGCGTCGCAGTAGGGTTTGCGAGGTTTCCCGACGGGGCGGGGTTTTCGTTGGCTGGTCCGTCGTCCAAAGCGTCCGATCCCCCACCGAGGCTGAAAAGGTCATCGTCCTGCTCATCAGCGTCTTGAAAAGGAACGGCGTTGTCATGTGGGTGGGCTGACGCACTCAATGGCGGAGTCGGGGGCGCCGTGCGGGTGCCCGCCGGGGCAGGGTTGGCGCTGGCTGACTCGTCGCCCAGGAAGTCCAAACCTCCACCAAAGCCGAACGGGTCGTCCTCCTGTTCGTCGAATAACACCCGTTGGGCCTCGGCCCAGAGCTCGTCGGGGTTTTGTGGGATGTCTGGTCCAGCCGCGGGTGGAGCCTGGTCAGACAGCAGGGGATTTGGTTCCATTTTGTTTAGTTCTGCAGCAGTGAACCCAGCCCTGCGGTGTGGGAGAGGAAGTGTACGATGTCTCCGCTCGTAGATGGCAACGGCGACTCCATGGAGCACGGTCGCTTGGCGGTGACGTGCTTTGGCAGCTTCAACGATGTCGTCTGGAAGGTTGTGAGTACGTGCCGCCGCTGTGGCGAGGGCGTCCGCCTGACGATTGAACTCCTCCGCGATGGGCCCGATGAGCCCGAGGTCGATGCCCGTGTCGCCCTGGTGGCTAGCGACTTTCTCTACGCGGAACATGTTTGGCTTGGCCATGACACATCGGTGGACCTTTTCCCAGAACTCCACGTGCGTGCCCTGCGGAGGTGAGTGTCCGTCGATGATCCTTTGGAAGCCGTCGACCACCGCCTGGTTGTCCACGAAGACGTGTACGGGCCGTTCAGCACATGCCGTGAGGTGGACAATGGCGAGGGTCTCCGCAAGCTGTGCGTTCTGCGTGATGCCGTGAACGCGCGCACTGTAGTTCATGCGGTGGTCGATGCCGTAGTAGACGCCGTAGCCCGCTCTTGCAAGCAAAGGGATGGCTTGGTTGGTGCATGCACCGTCCGTGGCAGCGTAGACCCATGTCCAACCAGTGTCGTGGTCAAGGTAAGTGGTGTAGGAGTCCTGGGCTGAAGCCGCAGGATCTCCCTCAGGCGGGGGCCGCGGTATGGGTTGAGGTAGCGGGTCCCTCGCGAGGTCGGCTTGCAGATCGAGGAGGGCTGGGTCCTCATCGAAGAGCCCGCAATGTCTTGTGTGCGGAGGAAGGCGGGCCCACTGCTCGTCACTGATGAGGGTGGTGAGAGGGACTCTTTCACGGGCCCAGCACTTGCAGTCACGCACAGTGTGCTCCTGAGTTTCCTCTTCCTCATCACAGTAACGGCAAATAGGGCTGGGATCAGCGGACGTATTTGATCGAGAACGTCGCTGTTGGGTGTGGTCCCCGCCCGACAGGTAGTTTAAGAGGAGCGCCAGCTGCCATGCGTTGCATTTGGCAGCTCCTTTGGTGCGGGCGAGCCACGTGCTGGCGAAAAGGTCGAGGCCCTGTCTGACCGAAGCTAGGTGTCCAAGGTCATGACGCCGTGGCTTGATTTTTCTCAGAAAGGCTCTGCGTTGCGAGGCGCGCAGCATGTGAAGGAAGGCGTTTTGGGGAAGGTTCAGCCAACTGATCTGACAGCCCCAGTCGTCGTACATGGTGCCAAATGTGGGCCAAGTCCAACGGAGCTGCTGAAGCGTCTGAACAAGTCGTCCAACAGGTCCTCCGCCAAAAAGGGTCTGGACATGGTGTTGGAGATCCCTGACGAGGCCGCAGAGAGTGGCGTCGCGGTTGACCTGTCGCCGCAGGCACAGGAAGACTTCACGCTGCATAATGGCGTCAATCTCCAGGGCGTGCCCTGGGACGCACACGGCCATGAGAGTCCAAAACTCGACCCACCTGTTTCCCTTGGGGCGGATAGCCGCCTTAAGGGCATGGTTGTAGGCAGTTTTGACGGGGCCTGATGGGGCTTGGATGTCAGTGCCCGTGGTACAGACGCTGGCAGCAAGGGAGCGGGCGTGCCGCGCCTTAATACGCATCGGAGATGGGAGCTTGCCAATACGCGGCAGGCGACTAGTCGCCCTGCGAACACGGGCGTCAGCGGTGGCCGTGAGGTTGAGCGCGGCTGGAGCCGGCGCTGCCTCGGCGTTGATGTAACTTCCGACGAGCTTGAAGGAGTCGACCACGCGTAAGGGCCGTTCCGCCAAGGTGAGCTGGGTAACGGCGGTGTGAAGCTCGTCAGTAAGCGCCCACCCCGCCACTTTTCCAGGATGAATGCGTTGACCAGAAAATCGATCAAACTTGGCGGTTTCATCAAGAGATTTCTGCAACTCGGGCGCGGTGTGGGTAGTGGAGTTGCTGTCGTCAACAAAAGTAGTGCTGAGTGACCGCGGCACGTAACGATGCTGTCTCTTGGTCCAGACGCACATGAGCAGCTTAATGTCGTCCAGGGACCAAGAGCTTCCCTGGAGGTGACCGTTTGTCCTGGCCAGTTCCTTAGAGTACGCACCGTTCATGCGGATGTAACGTTTGTGGCGCCTGTAGAAGTTTCTGCGGACAGTAACGATGTCTTGGGGACACCCCGCGTGAAGCGCGAGGTTAAGGCATATGTCCGTGATGAGATAGTCGAAACACTTCTGACGGTCCAGGGCAGCTCCAGCCAAGGGAAGGAGAAGGGCTCTGGCGTGTTCGATGCGAAGGGCGAGAGAAGTGCTGACGTCCCCAATGGTAGCTTTGGGAACAGCGCCAAAACTCGTGGCGTGGGTCCATCCTTTCCGCCAGTCCGTGAGGCTGCGGTAAGCTGGTGCTTCCCACGCATACATCCAAACGGAAAGCACCGAGAGAAGTCGTTGGTCCGTTGGGAGTTCGCCTCGGCCTTTTCGGAGGCACGGGTTTGGGACGTGGAGGAGGGGTTCTGGGATGGTGCCAGTGCGTTGCATAGCTCGTAGAACGCTGGCGAAGAGGCGAAGAATGTCGTCGGGAAGCTCCTTTGCCTCCTTAGTAGTCCAACCGTCCAGACCCCC